GCTTAATGATGCCTAATGTACATCTTGCTGATGAATCAAAGCCGCCCATCCGAAGAGGTTTTTTTGAATCCAAATGAGGGGGGTTTTATATAACTCATCAAGATTGCACACTAGTGACTGAATAACCTATCAGATCCTTTTGAGCGGGCTCTGATTTTTTAAAATTCTGCTTAGACCCCCAACACCGCCCCCCCCCTTGGCGCCAGAAATTCACGATGCCCCCGGCGGATCTCTTGGTTCATACCGGAGGCCTGTGGGGAGAGTGACAAGCTCCAGTTCTGTCCCTACCCAGGAGTAGCTTGGGGATCACCTGCAGGTCACTTTTTGAGATCTTTTTGGAGGGACACCGGGGACACCGCACAGAAGAGATGGATGAACAATGATGAACAGATGGAAAACGGTGAACGGCGGTTAACCTGTATTTGCAGGGACGCTGAGCAGGTCATAGACTATATAGACTCGTGATCAGTAAAACTTACATCGGAAGTGGTTTCACAATCAATCCCAAATGGGGAAGTTGTATGAATCAAGAGACGTATCACCTTTCATCCTTGAACATGGCGGATTCGTCACAAAAGCGGACCCCTGGGTCCCCATCAACTTGCCGTTGCAAGCCTGACACGGCTTGCTTCCGTGCCGCCCATCCCATCCGACCCCCTTCGGACCGAGTCCCAGGGATCGACCCGACCCGGCGAAAGGACGGGGAACAGGTGTGCTTTGTGCTGTGCTTTGTGCTGGCACGGTGGGAGCGAACACCATGACAGGGGTCCAAAAACCGCAGGTGAAGGATGGAACCCTGCGATCGATTCTAGTTAATTATATTTAATATCATACTATACCCCAAAGGTGTTTGATGTGGTTCAGCTCCATGAAGATAGAGAAAGCATGGGCAATACTCCTTCCAGTTCTCAGATTCTCGGCATACTCGTTGCAGTTTCAATTTGTTTCTTTCGCAAAAAAAGTCCTCAAGCAGCATCCCACAGCATCCCACAGAAGAAGATGTGTGATATTGGGTCATTCCGCCAGGTCGGCATGTACCACTCCCTGATTCCTGGATTCTCCCTTTCTCGCACCGTCCAGCCGTTGGCCTCGCAGCGTCGAGCGTTGGCTCGGGACAGCGATGAAATTCTCGGTGCTCCTTTGCCCCGCGGCAGCTGGTGGTGGGGACTTCTGGAGGGAGTCCATGTTGAATCAAGTTGAGTGAACAAGTGTTTGGTGCCAAGCATCCCAGTCAACCATGTGGAACAGAAACGATGGGTCAACCAGAGAAATGCTTTGGTCCGGTGCCGGAGCCGGCGAGGAGATACTCTAGAGTTCACCAGAACAAGGGGACGGAGCGCAGTGCAGATGTTCCATGATTTTCCATGTTCAAGGGATTGAAAAGGACACCTGCCTGAACATCCTGAATGTCATTTGTTTGTGGTTTCATTTGCCACAACTCCACTGTCATAACTGCGCCCCGTAGAACTCAAAGGACCCATCCAAGTCGACTTGTTCCTCCCCAGAACTAACACGGAATTCATCGGCTTTCCATGTCCGGCGCTGTTGCAGATGACGATGTTTGAACCTTTTTGAAGATAATGAGTGAACATTTCGTGACACGATCCAGATTGCTCCATTTTCATCAATTTTTGCATTTTTGGTGCTTGCAGTTGTACAACAAGAGGAATGCTGTGTTTTGGACAAAACACTCAATGATGTCATAGGAGTGGTGTAGAAACAACCCAACCTCAAAGATATCTAAAGTATGATCAACGGCAGGCTTTCCATGCTTGTTTGCACAGCTTGTTTGCTTGAAGTCTAGCATCAATGCTTTGGCTTTGGTGGAGGTTCTAAGGATCCCATTCATGAGGAGTCCCCATCCATAGGTGAATTCACCTTGATGTAAACTTGGACCATTTCAGGACCACCAGACCTCGCTCTCGTCGACATATCCATTTGGAACCGCACGACTCACGTCGGGACCGGGACCCTCACTCGACCTCACCAGGCCCTCCCGCTCCGGTCCCTTGCCCTCACCGGGGCGCCCAGGCCTCCCATGGCTGGGCGCCGGCGAGGCGCGCCCGGGCACCGGCGTCTTCGAGCCCTGGCTGCATGACCTGTGGGCCCAGCCCACCGCACAGGCGCGGGGTGAAGAACACGGGCGGTTCTTGGGCACCCCCACGGGGGGCAGCCTGTGAGTGGGCGAGTGATGCGTGGGGTTGTGGTAGAACATGGCAGAACGGGGGGGACAGTACTCCTTCTTTGATCAGCGGTTTTGGGGAGGCAAGGCGCCCAGAGGCGACCGGTCGCGATGGACCATGGGGGCGAACACCGGCAGAGAGGAAGAACGACCATCCACTTCTCGAAGTTCATGGTGGCTTGACGGACTGCTTGAAGTGGGAGTTCCAAGTACGGAGGGCTTTGGATTCGTAGGGAGGTCCGGGTTCCCTTTTGCAGGCTCGTTGATGCCAATGCTGCTCGGTTTGCACCTCTTTTCTTTTATGGTGATTCAAGTTGGGTCAGCTTCGTCTTCTATCATACCCTCAACTACTTAGGGTCTACTTTGAATACCTGAGGTCCCTTTTACAGTAGTTGCAGGTCTCTTCCATGTTTATATACAGTATATCGATTTCAATTCACTCACGACCAGGCACTCGATGTCCGCGTGGCCAAGGCGGATCCGGCGTTGTTCAGCCCGTGTGAGGTCGAACAGGTCATGAGGACTCTTGATATTGATGAGATGTGAACCCACCCATAATGAGGTTTTACCACCATCCCAATGTAATCCCAATGTATTGTTGTTTTTTTTGATGTTTTGTGTTATGTTTTTGTTCATCCAGGTTCTGGATATATATTTCTCGAGCTCTATCCACCCTTCTTGGGATTGTAAAGCCTCTTCAAAACTGGGTAGGTTGACATACCATCAGGAGCCTGCAGCGTCTCGAGCTGCGGGGATCACCCACCAAGCGTCACAGTCACAGAGGCCGCTCCGAAGGGTGAAGCCCCCCTGCTCCGTGCTTCGGTCGTGGGCGGGCTCGGGGCTGGACTTTTTGGGCGAATGCCAACTTCAAAACCTTCCGTTGGACCACAAGAAAGGGTTGACCTGGCTTTTCACCCTGCAACCATCCCTTCGTAAAAGGCTTGGGACGGGGGTCCAACATCGGGCCAGGAATTTGAAGGAACGAACGGTGCGCAAAACTGATTGTAGCAAGCACGGCTTGTAAGCAGCTTGTAAGCAGCTGGTTTCCCACGGAGGGCCAGTTAATTTAGTTTTTTTTTTTTTTTGGTTTTTCGTGGCTTCTGGCTTCTGTGGCTTCTGGCTTTTGTGGCTTTTGGCTTTCGTGGCTTCTGTGGCTTCTGTGGCTTTGGGCTTTCGTGGCTTTCGTGGCTTCTGTGGCTCTTGGCTTTCGTGGCTTTCGTGGCTTATCCATCTATGTGTCTATATCTATCTACTATATCTATCTGTTTGTTTGTCTGTCTATCGATCTATCTATCTATCTCTCGATCTATCTATCTTTCTTTCTTTCTTCCTCTTTCGCAGCTGTTCTCCTTTCTTTTTTTCTTTTGCTTTTCCTTTTATTCGCTTTGCAGAGAAGAAGCAAGCAAGCAAGCAAGCACGAGCTGCTCACCTTGGGATGTGGTGTGCTGCTGGGGGGGGCGCTGGGCCCCCCCCAACCCCCCCCGCGCCACGAAATCTGCACTTCATCTCCGCCACCCGCGCCTGCCACGAAATCTTTCTCTTTGCTTTTCTGCTACGTAACTGCACCAAACTGTTGTGATAGGCAGAAATTTCTCTGACACCTACACTATTCCAATGCAAATCTGTCTACCTATCCATTTGTCTGTCTATATCTATCTGTCTATATCTATTTATCTATCTGTCTGTCTATCGATCTATCTCTCTATCTCTCGATCTATCTATCTTTCTATCTTTATTTCTATCTTTATTTCTATCTTTCTTTATTTCTATCCATCTATCTATCTATCTATCCATTTATCTGTCTATCCTTCTATCTGTCTATCTGCACTTCAACATCCACAAAGTCCTGCACCTGCCACGAAATCGAAATCTACACTTCAAGGCCCGCAAAGCACTGCACCTGCCACAAAATCTGCACTTCAAGGTCTACAAAGTCCTGCGCCTGCCACGAAATCTGCACTCCAAGTCCCACAAAGTCCTGCACCTGCCACCAAATCTGCACTTCAACATCCACAAAGTCCTGCACCTGCCACGAAATCCGCACTTCAACATCCACAAAGTCCTGCACCTGCCACGAAATGTGCATTTCAAGGTCCACAAAGTACCGCACCTGCCAAGAAGAAGGTCATTTCAGTGCAAGAAGCTGCCACTGAGCATGTTACGAGCTCAGCATCTTAGGTCAGCGATTCATGGCTTTTTCCGAATGGTCCGATTGGTAATCCATGGTCTCAGCATTTGTGCCGACAAAAATTCAATCCTTCGACGCCCATCTCATCCTTCTTGCCTTTGGACCGCCAGGGCCTGGGCTCCAAGGGCTACCAGAAAGTGCGGATCTCGGTGGTGGCTCCCCAGCAGATGGAGGTGAAGGATTTCAACTTCACCTACCAGCAGTGCCCCAGTCAGAGGGATGAGGGATGAGCATGCGTGAGCGAGAACAGAGGGCGGAGAACCAGTTGGGAGCGAGAAACACGCAGCGGATTGCTGGTCGTTGGTTCTTGGCGGTTGGGTTTGGGGGTTGCTGGAAGTTGGCGCGATGTTCCGCTCCTGATTCATGCGGCGTGATGTTCCTCACAGGGATGGGGCTTCTCTTGAAGCATTGGGGTGTAGGGATGTGATGCGGCAGATCCGTCACATGATTCCTACATGGTATATGATCTGCCACCGGCCCCGAGGAAAAGGGAGCACAGGTATTTGTGCTTTTGTTATTTTGTCCATGATTTTTTTGCCTTTTGGGGAAGACTCTTGTCCGAGCATGACGTTGACCACGTTGAGAGACTTGCTGCATGCCGGGTGGAGCCTTCTTGGGGGGCTCGTCCCAATGCTGTATGGTTTGCCAGCTTCTTCCATCATTTGGAGCCTCCACTTGGTGCACTTGGTGCAGTTCACACTAGCGGTGCGTCCGGAGATTTGGGCAGACTTGACCGACGCGGCTGGGCTGGGTCCAGGGCCGAGGGCCGGGGGTGGTCTGGAAGAAGTGGTGCGTCTAGCATGTCCAAGCCACGTTCGTTTTTTTTGTTGTTTCACCGTCGGTTTGGCTCTTTGATCGGTTTTTCATTCACCCCAGAACTACCTGAACTAGACGATGCCATGAGAATACTACTTGGCGAGAGTCCTACTAGGACGTTGTGGATGGAAGAGGGGGATGTGTTGAAGAGGGAAAACAGGGCCTGACGGGTCTCACGGTTCGCCTCTTGAGTGATTGGCTCCATAAAGATCATAAAGATGTGGTCAATCAAGCTGCTATATGAAATTCTATCAGCGTCGCCGGCGGCGGAAGAACAACACAAATCGATCTATTGTTATGGTCCATGCGGGGTTTCCCCTCCAGCCAAGCTGAAACTTTATCGTCTTGATACCCCCGGTTCACTCTCCACCAGCCACTGTCGTCTTTCCACTGCAGCTTGGTTCCCAAAGACAGCCGCTTTGAGACAATCCATGCATGGCCCAGTCACCAACCGAGAGGGATGTTTTTTCAAGCTTGTCAAGATGCTAGTCCACCCGCCGTGACAGAGTTCCAAACGAAAAGACAGGCGTATGGGGGCTGTTCGGGCTGATTCTTGATGCATGAAGACCCAAAGGGGGCCTCGCAACCCTTTCGTTTCGAGGCAGTACCGGCATTGTTTTGGGATTCCTCGTTCGTTCGCCAAGGAGGAGCTCCGGCCACCTGCGCCCAAGAACCTGGGCCGATTGTTGAAAAAGAAAGCAGCGGCTGTCCGCTGTCCCTTGGCGAAGCCGAGTCCCTTGAAAGTGTCACAGGGCCGGGGGGTCGACTGGGCGGGTCGTTTTGGAGCGTTTTGGTGCTGGCACGGTCTGAGAGGCTGGACTGAAATTGGATTTGTATTGTTTGACTACCCGGAATGCTATTTAGATTTTATACATAATGACATATATATATATATGTTATAATATATATATATAGTGATATATAGTTGCATAATTGTGTTATACATTATCTATATATATATATACACTGTAGATCAGATCAATCGAGCGGTCCATCTCTTGCAGATGGACACCAGGTCTTCCAGGCCATTCCAGGCCGTCAAGCTGCTCTGAGGTGTTGAGGACCCGGAGCTCTTCCAGGCTGTGCAGGACTTCTTGCAGCTGAAAGGGGGCTCGGATGTGCCCTTATGTTCCTTACCGGGCATCGTGTGCCAGAAGTGCGGTGTGGTGAAGATCGGCAGGAGTGGAGCCAGTGCGGAGTCTATCCAGGGAGACCTGTCTTTCTTGAGGCGCTTCCCCGAGCTGCGCGAGGTGGACCTCAGTTGGACCCGCGTGACGGGCGACCTGAGCTCCCTGAGGAACTTGTCCAAGCTTGAGAAGGTGGACTTGCGACAGACGCAGGTCTCTGGAAAGCTGGCCTCTCTAGAGTACCTGACCAAGCTCAAGGAACTCTACCTGGACCATCCGGAGGTCTCTGGCGATCTGAAGTCCTTAGAATCTGCCAGACTTGAGTGGTTAGATCTGGATCGCACCAAGGTCTCTGGAGAGCTCACATCCCTCAAGAAGATGACGGGCCTGAAGAGGCTCTATCTCAGAAGCACGCAAATCTCTGGAAATCTGAGTGCCCTTGAGACGATGAGAGATTTGGAAAGACTCTACCTCAGTTGGACGAAGGTCTCTGGCAGCTTGGCGCCGCTGTCCAGAATCACTGGCCTCGAAACCCTCTTCCTTAGGGACACTGAGGTCTCTGGCACCTTAGCAGCCCTCGAGGACCTCACGAGCCTGGTCAAGCTGCCTGTTAGTACTTCAGGCTGTGCCTCAAAGATGCCCCAATCCGGCAAAGGGGCCACCTTTCTTGCATACAGAACCCTACTCGTGGGCATCCCTCCTCTTCAATGGTTCGTGTGTCCCCTTGATGTATGATGTATGAAGCATTTCACCTGCATTTTCCATCCTGATCACTGACCAGTGGGTGAAGCCATGTGTTGTCCCAACTTCTCTTGCTTGCGAGGTTAGATCTGGGTGGCACCCAGATCTCTGGAACTCTGACTTCACTGGAGCCCTGGTTCTTGCTTCGAGTGTATAAGTTTAATTGTTTCATTTTTTCTAAGTTCCGGAGGGCTTTTTTTTACCAATACATTGCGGGTGCTTTCGAGATGTTTTCAGGGTGAATGGAGGTCAGACATTTCCATACTTGGGATGGTCTGGGTATGGGGTGAATCCCCTTCCGATTCCTTTTTCTCTATCCAAGGAGCAGATGATGAACTTGACCACGTTATCTCTGGGAGAAACGCAGGTCCTTGGCACACTGAGCGCTCTACGGAGGATGTCCGGCATGGGGACCTTGAACCTCACGAAGACCAACATCTCCGGATATATCCATGAACTCCATATGATGAAGGGACTTGAACGACTTCTTCTCTCCAAGACCTGGATCCTTGGCACCTTGGGATCTCTCTCTTCGATCGATCTGCCGGCTTTGAGGACCATAGACCTCTCCAGCACTCTGATCTCCGGTTGGTTTCTTCAGAAAGGGGGGCGCAGGTATATGAACCTTCGAGAGGCAAATCTGGCAGCTACTTGCCTGCTTTAACAGCCCGGGCCTCCGGATCAAGCACGGATCAAACATGGTCGGAGCAACAATGGTTCTGCTTCCCTTAGAAGCAGAACCCGTACTGGTGGTGCGTTTTGCTTTTCCCTCTGTGTGTGGGTTGAGTGATTCATCCATGACTTTGGGCCTTCGCCGCTGCCGTAGTAAGGACAGTCTGGCAGGGCCTCTTCCAGATCTTCCCCAGACTGTAGCCCTGTCACGTGCTGAGATGCTTCCTGCTTTGCAGTTTCTCAATGTGGGGAGGCTCAGTGGAGACTTCCGTTGCTTTGCTCTACACTACTATGCGGGTCAAGCTTGCGCTGTACCCACCAAACCACGGTTTCGGTTGACATCCCTGAAAAACCAGCACCCGACTTCACAGGTCACCACCATTTCAGCCTCCATGTCGGAGACCTATCGAGTCGGGTGCTGCGCTGGAGGAATCGCTTCGATCGGTGCCCCGCCATTGACCCACACCCCATGCTCAAGCTCGGTGGAGCACCGGACACAGACACGAGACGAGACGTCCTTCCAAGCGAGGTACCAGTTGAGAGGTTGAACCCTTTGTCGCCCAGATGTACCACAGACCAGGGTCCGAAGGTTCCGGTCTCAAAACGTATCCACGCGCAAAAATAGGAGCCGTTGGTCGGTCCATCCGGTCCAGGGTGGGATCCCATCACCATTTCAAAGGGTTGATCTGGTTTAGTAGTGTAAAGTCCCTACTGTACGTAGTTTAAAAGAAGGGTTGTTCGTTTAAAGGCTATTAAAAAATAACAGAACGGCAGTTGCTGGGACTGCAGTTTTTCACGTTCTTAGCAATAGGCCTAGATTTTACTACATAAGCTGCACTCCCATATGCATGATCATTTGGGTCACCTGAACCTGGTAGCAGGCAAGGCAATATTTGCAGACTCTTGGAACGAGGGAGGCCAAACACATCGAAAAAAAAAACACAAACAAAACAAACACACCAATATTCCCAGACTCTCTGGAGGGGGGGGGGTCCCGGCCAAGACTCTCTGCATATTTTTTTTGGTTTCTCGAGGTTCCGGAAAAAACACAAAACTGCGGACCCCATGAACCATCCCAAGACTTCAGACATAGGGTGTGCAGTTCCTTTTTAACATGATTATTTGTCTTTTTGTTTCCTTTGAAGAATGATTAGTTATTTGCATTGCTCTTCTAAACATGCTTATTTTCAATTAAGGGATTGTTTGTTCATTTATTTTCCAGTTTTAAATGATTATGTATTCTTTTTTTGTATTGATTTTTTCATGTTAAACACTAATTGTGTTCAACTTGTTTCCTTTTTAAACATGTTATTTCCGGTAATTTCCTTTTCAGAATGATTGGTTCCTGGTTTTTTCCTTTTAAATATCATGATTTCCCTTTATGAACATTAATCTATGTTTAAAACTTGTATCCTGTTGTTGTCCTTTTAACAATGATTATTTTGGTGTGAATTCATTTTGGAACTGATTAATGTTTGTGATTTCTATTTCCCTTTAATAATGATGAATTCCTTTCATTTTATTTTAAACAATTCTTTCTTATTCTATGTTCTTTTAACATTGCCTTTTGAAAATGATCAATTCCGTTCATTTCCCTTTGGCAATGATTAATTTCTGTTGAATATGAAAGGGCATGATCACTTTTTAAAGGGAAAACGGCAGGCATTAATCATTTGCAAAGGATGAATGAACGGAATAGATCATTTTCAAAAGGAAAATAACAGGAAATAAGCACTTTTAAGAACAAAATACATACATACATAAATAAATCTCTATATATATATAAATCAATTTTAGAGGGAACATGAAAACAATTAAGCATATTTAAAAGGATAACTTAAGGAATTTATACCAAGTGCAGGTTGAAAGAGATTCATAAAAGGGAAAATTAAATATGGAAGGAATGACTCATTCTTAAAAGGGAAAATTAGAGGAATTGAAGGAATTGTTAAATCTAAGAGGAAAAATGAGAGGGAATCATAAAAGGGAAAACTGAAATATAAACGGCAATGATCATTTTTAAGGGAACTGACAGGAATTAATTATTTGCAAAGGATGAATGACAGGAATAGATCATTTTTGAAAGGAAAATAACAGGAAATAATCACTTCTAAGCACAACATACAGATATTAATCATATTTAAAAGGAAAACTGAAGGAAATTATACACATTGCAGGTTGAAAGGGGTTCATAAAAGGGACAATGAAATATGGAAGGAATGAATCATGTTTAAAAGGGAAAATGAAAGGAATTGTTCAATTTAAAAGGACAAATGAAAGGGAATCATAAAAGGGAAAATGCCATATAAAGGACATGATCATTTTTAAACCTTCTATCTCTGCCATCACAAGAGGGCCAGACTCAAAAGCAACTTGGCACCAAACTAGTGCATACATATCTTCAATCACATTCAATCTTCTAAAAAAGTGCACTCCCACAGCCTGCCAATTCTCTAAAAATAAGGGTGGTTCGAATGTGGTTCGAGTACCTATGTACATGGGATAGTCGAACAGTCGTTGGTGCAAGACGGGACTCGTGTCGGAAGTTGTGTTGCAGAGTGAGTGAGTGAGTGAGAGAGAGAGAGAGCGTGCGATGGCCTCCACCCTCATAGCTATGGCCTCCAACCTAACTTGGCTGTATTTTGATCATGGTGTGGTACTTATGCGTGAATGGGAGGAGGCATGTGCGTGCGATTGCATGCAAGTCTTGTAGGCTCCTTGAAAGAATCGTGGTTGCCTGGGAGTGGAAACCACTTGTTTGTAGAGGAAATGCGTCATCCAAAATCGGGATGGTTGGAGGCTGAGTCTAAAGAGACTGATGACTCACTGCTCCGGCTCCGCCACATCAGGTCAGCGGCTGCCCCTTGAATGGCACCGTGGAGCAGTTGCTGCTGCCTCTCGCAGCCAATCCCATCACGCGGATCGCTGCGGCGCGGTGCGGTTTGCGGGGCCCAGTGCCGAACCTTAGGGCTTTGCCATTGGTTCAGGTGGATCATCAGTGGCACTCCATGTGGCGTAGTGTCTTGTCGGGCTCCCTTCAACTGCTGGACATTTCGGGGAACGGCCTATCAGAGATGGACACCCTTCCTGCAGCCTTACGGGTGGATGTTGGGGACAACTCACAGGTCATGACGGTCAGCAAAGCTGCCTTGGTGGAGGCGTTGGAACACAGCATCGAGGTGGGTCTGGCCAATACCCAGCTTGCGAACAGAGCGGAGGTGCGCGAGTTGCTGGGCAATGGTTTGGAGTTGCAAAAGACGTGGAGGCTGAAGACAGGACCCTTCGGCTGCAGAGATTTGACCGAATCCAGGTTGAAAGTGACGCCGGAGCTTTTTCTACCAGATGACATGTGCGGCTGCAGCCCTGGATTTTCGGGGACGGCCACCAACTGCTCGCCTTGCCTCCAGGACACCTTCAATGATGAGTGGAATCAAAGTATTTGCGAAAGATGCCCTTCACGCAGCCATTCTCGCAAAGCTTCCAAATCCTTTGAAGCCTGCGAATGTGATTTTGGCTTCATCCAGAATGAAGCTGGCAATCTCAGCTGCCAATGCCCTGCGAGCAAGGCGCTACGTGAGGACTGGGGACAAGAGAAACAGCTCACCCTGTTGAGTGAGTTTGGACCAGACAAAGGCCCTACCCATCAGACAGTTTGGATGTGTCGTTTTTTTGGAGCCCCTCAAAGCACAGAGAAACATCACACCGACCTTTTTCTCACCGACCTCGAGTGGGGGCGCCTTTTTGGGGTTTCGCGGCGATGAACTGTCGTAGTCAGAACTGCCAGAAGCTCCCCATAGCTCCCCTGCGAGGACAATTGCATTCCCTGCGATCAACTTCACTTGAACTGCTCCTCTCCTGGCAGCATCGCAGCCACTGCGCCCGTGAAGGTGGGCCATGCTCGACTCCACGACAGGGCAGAGGTGGCATTTAGGTGCCTTGAGGCAAGGCGGTGCAGGGAGGACGGCTGTGCAGCAGGACAGGTCTGAAAAGATGACGAGGGACGACTCCCCCCTCCAACAATCATGGAAGTGGATGGCATGGCCCTGTGGAAGACTTTTTGTCCTTTACCAAGACGGGGTGGTCCACTTCCATGAGTCGAAAGCGAGAGTGCCAGCCAGCAGTTCCATGTCGTCTATTTTTAGAGTCCCCAGTGAGCGGTTGAGTGGCATTTTCACCTCTTCCCTCCAAGTTTAGTGACCTGGAACTGCTGGAGCACCTGCTGAACCACCATTGGAGGCCAGGACCTGGCGGTGATCTGCAGCTTCAGGATCCCCACGAGGTGATTTTTCCATAAGGTGGTGCATTAAAACATTGATAAAGATTGTACACTGAGATCACTGAGTGCGTTCTAAGTGAAATGGGCTTTTTCTAGTATGTTCTAGAAAGGGACTTGCTTGTTGCACTGGTTCAGGTTGTGTTGCAAGTTCTGAAGAGTTGGTCAAGTTTCGCACGCCTTAAATCGTAGTAGTTCTCTCCAAAGCCATTCCTCAGCCTCCATCTACAGTTGCAACATGTTGCAACCAGCTTTCCGAAGCTGCAGGATACACTGGCCCCCTTTGCACGGACTGCGCAGCTAGCTACCACGAAAGGAACCAGAAGTGTTTGCCATGCCGCGACATGCTGAGCATGCGGACCATCCTCACTCTCTTGGGGTGCACGATGGTGCTCACACTTGCGGTGGTGGCCCTGGCATACACCTTCAGGTGCATCCATGTACTAACATGCATTAGGCATGGGACACCCTACAGCATCCACCAAGGAGAAAGAACATGCACCACGAACTGCAGCATGCACGAATCCCGCATTCCATTCACTCTGAGCTAATTTGCTTCGTTGTTTCAACTAGGGCGTTTTGGGTTTTCATCCAAAAAGTGAGAACTAACCGGCCCCTCTAAAAGCCTATTTGCAGCAACGGTTTGCCAATCCGGTTGAGACTTTCAGACCTGGACAGGAAAGGCTTGGCTCTAAGCCTTCGCTCCAAATGTGCCTTGCAGTTGCTGCAGTCACAACTGGCTGCCCTGTTGCAGCTGGTGCAGCTTTGGGCAGTGCTGGCGCGCTTGGCGCAGCCAGAGAGGGAGCTGGTGGACCTTAACGTCACTAGCCCTTCTGAGCAGCCAGAGGGTGGCGTGGATGGTTTCAGAAGCGGAGCACAAAAAGAATCGGGGAGGGAAATGGAAAGGTATAGAGGAAGAGGTGACGCTTTGGGATGTGAGGTGCTCCAACCGTGTTCCTTTTGCATTACGCGGTGTTTATGTTTTTTCAGGTCAGATAAAAACTAATTTTTCATGGTGTTATTTTTAGGTATTCTTTGCGGTTTTTACTTTCCGAGCACCTAACGAGGAACAACACACCTAACGAGAACCTTTCAACCTCATATGCGTCCGCGACTGAGGCAATTTGGTCTTCTGGATGGAAGCGTTTCAGCTCACGGGGCATGAGATCCAAAGCTTTTTGGCGCTCCAGTGTCGCGTGGCCGACGCGGTTCAGGTGCGCTACGTCTTCGCGCTGGGGACTCCGATGGCACCTTTGGCTTTGCTGGGGAGCTGTTTGCTCTTGGAGTTCTGTGCACGGGGCATGGGAGCCTTGGCAACGTCTAAAGCCAGTCTTAATTATGACTATATTGGGCGTGGTGTTCTGTCCTTTTATGGTATCTCTGCAGATTGCGCGGGGGATCGCGGGGGGTTAGTTGAGCGCCTGTGCTGGGGCTACGGCTATACGCGCCCAATGGCACCGTTGGACCCAACGAAAGGTGATGGTCCAATGATGCCATGCCAGGCTGATTCCGCCAAAAGGAGCACGAGCCATGAAGCCGAGCCGATGCATCCACCAGGGACCTCTGGCGCGTTTTGTTCTAGCCGAATCATGGTGGTTAGGGTGCCCAGAACATCCCATGAACTTCCGGGTCAAAACCCTCCACCCAAACGACAGGTCCCACTCCTCTTCGATGAGCATTCGGAGGTTCAGGGCAGGTGACATGGCCATGCCCACCTGGGTCCATGGTGATCATGGGTGTAAACCGTTGTAAACCCTAGAGAGGCTGAACGGCCCTTTGTCGCCCATGCCATATGTACCACAGACCAGGGTCCGAACGTTCTGCTCTCAAAAAACCTCTCGAGTCTCTTGGTTGTAAACCGTTGTACAGTAAACCGTTGTAAGCGTGTTACCCTCTGTGTAAACCGTTGTAAGCCTGACACCCTCCGGAATCGGACCCCTCACCCCTCGGATCGGTTCGACGCAGGAATCAGCGTGGCGCTCAAGGTGCTCACGCTGCTCTTCATCGGCGGGGCCTCGGGTGCTGCGCAGCTCCTGGGCTGTCAGCACGTGGACGGCACAGGCCGAGAGAGGGGTTGTGGGGAGAGATGGCGCTTGCTGGTTGTTTGGTGGTCTTGGTGGACCGGACTGGCTAGCACCATACCCACCTCCTTCCAGATTGGTTGGAGACGATGGGTGCCGTGTTTTTGACAGGCCCAGCGATTCCAAGCAACCGACCGACCCCAGCATCCAAAGCGAAGCAGCTGGCCGGGGGCTGGCCCTACTCCTTGACCAGGGGGGATTCACTCAGCTTACACATCACATCATGCAAGCACTATATATTATACGTATACACTAAGCAGCGCGCGACCTGGCGACCATGGCGTGAAAGACTGCGCTCTTTGCACTGGGTGCAATCAGCCAGCCAGCTATCAAAGTACGTGGCGGAGTCAGCCAGCCAGCCGTCAAAAAATAGCAATTCGATATACAACCTATGCATCACCGGCCCTAGTGCTCCAAATTTCTTCTGAGCAGATGCAGTTGTGCGGTCTTTACAGGGCAAGGCATTAATGCGGCATTAATCATAAGTAATCATTAGTCCAAATAGTATATTATATATATACAGTAACTAGTTATCAATCGTATTGTACTTACCTTGCCGTGCCTTACAAAATGCAACACTTGGTACTACAGTACCTACTGTCAATTGCTGTATGACTTTCTTCGGCATGCACCCTTCTGTTCAGATGCTATGGAACCACCACCGTTCCGGGCAGCTGTCAGGAAAGGTGAGTTTGGGTGATTCCGCTTTTCGCCCTCTCTTCCCGCAGCTCTTGTGCACGGAGTCCGCCCCCTGGGCAGGGGAGCTCAGTGTGGCCCATGTCATGCGAACTGCAAGTCATGGCCAGCAAGGAGGGTTTGTGTGTATGTCTCATCGACCAGTGGCTCGGTTGCTTGAGGCATAAAGCATCACATTCATGTGTTTCATCTTCTTTCACCGAGGTCGATGGAGTGGGTTGGCTGGGCATTTTTTGCTATGGCCTCGTGATCCCATGCTTCTTGGGTCTTCTCTTCCTGAAGCAAAACATCCTCATGCGCCCCGCGAAGACCTTCCTGGCGCAGCGAGACGAAGAAGAGGGCGGTTCAGTGACTCTGAGGCTTCAAAGCATGACGTGCCGGCAGAGTATCGAGGACTGGCCCTGCTGACAAAGAGGAAGATGAACAGAATGAACAGAGAGGGTGAAGTTCATTTGAGGTGGGTTTTACCATCTTACCCCGGACCCATGTTGACCCCGGTCTTTAAGACAGTCCGGCAAGTCGCCCAGTGCCCCGGTTTGGGCTGCGTTCACCCGTTGCGTTTCACGTTGTTTGGGTTGTTTGGTGGAGGATCCACGGTCACCCCGGGTGACCGTGGTGTGACGCCGTTGGAGGAGACCTTGTGCCCCAAACGCCTGGTGGCGGCGGCCGCAGCCCACGTGGCAGTTCGTGTGAAGGGATGCGGTGCTACCGTGAAGCTGCAGAAGGGTGCAGCGAGACTGGGGCGAAGACGCGAGAGTTGGACCGGGGGAGGGGGCGGCATTTTGGGGGGAAGGTGCCCCTGGCAGTGGGTTCTTTTAGGACGGTCCAAGAGGTTGCTGGGGGGTCCTAGGGTTCAGGTGAAGACTTGAAGTCGAAGGCAAGGATGGACAGCGGACACATTGCTGCTGATGTGGTTTCTCAGCAACTGCAGTCAGTCTTCGTCAGTCTTCGTCAAAGTGTGGTGTTGTTTGCACGAGCATTTTGGGGGCTCGGGCCACTAGGGTCTGATAAGGCCAAGGATTCTACCGGATGCTTTGTTTTTTGGGGGAGATGCAGTTGGGAATTGACACCGGCACAGCTTGCACATGTAATAGAACATGGAAGGAGGTTCCAGCTCCAGCTCCAAGGATCGTGACTCCCTTCCACGACGGCAGCACCGATTCGAGCTTTTCCGCACCTTGCCGGCAGTGAGCACTTGTCGAGAACGAAGAACGAAGATCTAAGATCTGAAGTCCTGTGGCCCCAACCTGGGAAGGAAAAACGGGTCCAAGGGTAAAGCACCCACTGAAATGAAGGCAGGCACGCAAGAAAAGGAACAAGCTGAGCCCCCAAGGCTGGACCCAACCAGCTTGTTCAGCTGGAGAGTCAACGAAGACGCTGGAACCGTTCGTTGACCGCTCGTTCCAGCTCGTTGACCGCCCCTGAGCCCTTTTGTTTACTTTCCTTCAGGGCGCGGCACGTTTGGAACTCGTCATTCGGGGGCCCTGCAGGCCCTGCCTTTGAGGGAGTGGCCCAAGCTTTAACATGCTTCAACGATGGAAAGGGGCGGAAGAAAAGAAAGCGGAAGTGCAGTCGATATGTGGGTTTATATGGAGATGTTTGGTAGATGGGCGCTTTGGGCCCCCAAGTTTGGTGTGGGACCCCATCTGTCAGGACATTTGGGGGTGCCAGTGCCATCTGCTCTGAGACCACTGTACGGAGACTTCCCAGGCAACGACCCCCTGGAAGAAGGGGAATTGACCAATCTACCCAGCCACGGCCAGATCTGACACTTTTAGCCATGTCTGAGGTGGAGCGTCTGGTCATGGATGCCAATCTGGAAGAAGCAGAGCTGCTTCAGTACCAAGAGATGGTCCAAATGTTGACGGAGCGAAGTATCCTGGAAGAGATCCAGCAAGATAGAAGCTGGCACCGGAAGCAGCAAGTGTTTGAGGGTGTTGGAGCGTTGTAGTAGGCCAGAATTCTTCGTGTTCGTATTTTGTTCGTTTGATTCGTTTTGTTGTTGCCATATGTTGCATGATGTTTGAGCATGTTTGAGCCTCTAGAAGGGTGTCCTGGTTTCGCTCCTCGAAGTCCCTTTTCTTTCGCTGTCTCACGCGGAGAGTCCGTCTCACGGAGAGTCCGCGACCCCTTCGCTGCGGGGTCGCCCAGGAGTGATGATGGGCGCCAAGCATCTGCTCTGCAAGTACGTGACTTGGCGCCTGCAAGCTGCAGCTTTCGGTGGCTGAAACAGCGAAAGGGCGGTGTTTGGGTCGTGCCCCACGCGGTTTTTCGGGACACCAGTCACTCAAGTCACTCGTTTTTTTGCGAAGGAAGGCACATGGATCTTGAGAATGGTTGGCTAGTCGGACGGGAAAGCCCAACACAAGATAGTTTTACGTTTGAAAGTTTGGAGCTGATGAGCTTCAAGTTCATCTTCGAAGCCCCCTTTGCTGCCACGTGTAGTTTGGGCGTTCCCCTCCTTCCCCCCCCAAAAAATAGAACTCTTTAGCCTCCCCGAGCCAGTCCCCGATCTCCTCGTGCGACGTCTTCCACCCGGCATCCTCCGGCATCGAGGCCAGCTGTCAAAAGGTTTGGATGGAAGTGACCTCCAAAGTGGCCTCCACCGCCCTGATCTCCGCCATCCGGCCTGATCTAGCTCCGTTCAGATCACATGACGCACGTTAAGTGTATCTGCAACAATCACAGTGAGGTGTTACAGTCTTACGTTGAATGGCAGTTCCGAGGCGATGGGTGTTCACGTTGTCAGGTGTCTTGTGTTTTTCCTTCTGGTGCTGAGGTGGTGACTGCGGAGGACGGCCTGTGGCTCTCGCTGGGCATCACCGTGGGCATGGCCTTGGTCATCAGTCTCGCGTCTCCATTTGAGAAGCCACAGGTGAATGTCTTCCACACCTGCTGCTTCGCATGCTCTTTGGCGCCACCAGAAGACGCGTACTCGCGGACGCCTACGCGTAGCGAAAAGAACGTGGGTGAACTCCACCTTTAGCCTCTAGAAAAGCCCGACTCAATCTGAAGATTTTCCAGACCAGCTGAGGGAGGAAGGGTAGTATCCTTTCGACCAAAAAGACCACGGTGCAGCTGCTCGGTGCAGCTGCTCGTCGGACCGGACCCGACGGTTTCGGGTCCAGAGTCGGGGACCTGGTATACGTATCACCCGCAGTCGGGGTGGTTGGACATCCCTTAACCTCTAAGGGGCCATCAATGGAAGCCCCTAGGGTGTCCTGGTATATATATCATGTGGATTCATGTAGTTTCAAGGGGCCTAGGCTGCCAAGCCCTATAGCAAGCACTTGCGATGTCCAAATGTCAGTCACAACATGTCACAACGGGATTATGTACTGTAATATTTTTTGGGGGTCCGTCCAAGGCAGGAACACATTTTTGTCAGCCTTTTAAACACCCGTTGTTACAAGCTTTTGAATTCTGAACCTTTTTAGTCTTCAAAAGCACCTTGCTAGGCTTGGCCATGGCAGCTTTTGGCTTTCGCTTTTGCTGGTGGCTTTCGCGCTTTGCTTTGGCTTTGCCTGTGCTACTGCTCATGGCGCAGCTCGTGCGACCTGACTCGCCCCAAGCAATGGCATTGAGACTGCAGAAGGACAGCGGCGACGGCAGAGTTGAAGCACGCAAAAGGAATGCCACGAATTGGACGGATAGTTATTTTCCAACTGATTTGCTTGGACGATTTGTTCGAAGATCTATGGGAGTTCTGGAAGCACAGGGTCTTGGTATTTCCGATAGTTGATTTGAAGTCCAAGAAGAGACCTCAACCGGGTCGAGCGCTGACGTGAACATACATGAGTTCATCAAATGTGACTGACCATCAAATGTGAGATAATGTGAGTACATTACATAGTGTAAGTTCTAGACTTGAGGTAGATTATTGATGTGGGTCTTAGACGAGCAGGTAATGTGACCGTCACATGACAGTGATCGTGGAGCAACGAGACTCCCACGCCCAACGCAGTCATTCTCATCTTTGGTTGGGATATTGGTCAATGAATGCCACCCCCGTCAAGAAATTTGAGTTCTTTGGAGCGTCATTCAGTCATTGAGTTTTGATGATTTTGAGGAGGCTTGGGCCTTGAACTTCTGCATGATTGAGACGGTTGTGTTGAGTGTGTGGAAGAATGAGGTTCTCGCTTCTCCTCCATATAATCCTGATTATATTAACATATATTATGTAATCTGTGTTTTTACTATGTTATAGCAAAATATATGCATACACACACAACTGTATTATAGACATCCCCACCAATTACTTAGCCATCAGCATCCCTTAAGCCCCTTGACATGCGCCCAATAGCCATCCGTGTGCTCATCTTTGCATTTCTTCCGCGAGGAGTTGGAGGAGAAGATCGAGTTCATGCAGCAGGGAGGCTCCTTCGAAGTTTCGACCACACCGCTGCAGTTCTTCTGAGCAAAAAAAGGAACGAACAACAGGCAGATCGTGCTGCGGAGAGCCCGAGCCAGGGGTCAGGTCCCGGTTCTTACCTCAAACCTTTGCCTATGGGTGTGCTCTCGAAAGGTGCTTGGGCTTTGTTTAGGGCTTGACTCCTTTAGCGTTTGTTTTGGATCTTTTTGAGGGCTTGACTTCTTTGGGAGGATTTCCTTGGGCTTGGTTTAGGGCTTGGCTTCTTTCGGGGTATGGGTTTGGTTTAAGAGCTTGGCTTCTTGAGGGTTGTTTGGCCTTGGTTTAGGGCTTGGCTTCTGTAGGCTTTGTTTTGGCTTGTTTAAGGTTGGTTTAGGGCTTGACTTCTTCGGGGTTTGTTTATAGGCTTGGTTTCAGGCTTCGTGCAGAGTTCGTGGCAGGCGCAGCACTTGTGAACCTCGAAGTGCACATTTCGTGGCGGCCACAGCACTTTGTGAACCTCCACGTGCAGATTTCGTCGCAGGCGCAGCACTTTGTGAACCTCGAAGTGCAGATTTCCTAGCAGGCGCGGCACTTTGTGAAGCTCCAGGCAAAGATTTTGTTACAGGCACAGCACTTTATGAACCTCGAAGTGCACATTTCGTGGCAGGCATAGCACTTTGTGAGCCTCCATGTGCAGATTTCGTGGCAGGCGCAGCACTTTGTGTGAACCTCCACGTGCAGATTTCCTAGCAGGCGCAGCACTTTGTGAACCTCGAAGTGCAGATTTCGTGTCAGGCGCAGCACTTTGTGAACCTCCAGGTGCAGATTTCGTGACAGGCACAGCCCTTTATGAACCTTGCAGTGCACATTTCGTGACAGGGACAGCGCTTTGTGAACCTCCACGTGCGGATTTCGTGGCAGGCGCAGCGCTTGGTGAACCTCGAAGGGCAGCACTTGGTGATTCCGTGGTCGCTGAATCGGAAAGCTGGTCGCTGATTCGCGAAATCTGGTCGCTGATTCGTGGTCGCTGATTCGGACCGCTGGTCGCTGATCCGGACCGCTGGTCGCTGATTCGGAGTTTTCTCCTCTTTTTTGGTGACCGGCTCCTGGTGTCCGATTCGGACACCACCCCCTCCAAGGGGTGCCCAATGGAAGCCTCTGGGTAGTGTGGGATAGTTCCCCTGGGAGGGTCCTGGAAGAAAGGAAGATTAAGCGCCAAATCCTTACACCAGCACCACCCAGTCCGGGTTGTTGATCGACCACCTTCACCTGGTGTTCAATGCCTTTTTCGACGGAGCTACCAAGGCAGTTCCGCTACCGCTGGACGGACAACTTCCTCCACAGCGCCCTGGTGGACGCCAAAGTGGGTACCAATGTCTTCAGCATTGGCGGCCACGAACTGCAGGTGGGGGGTGCTCGTAGAAAGCCTTTTGGGAGCCGGAAGCCGACGGTGGAGGTCAGCTGTGGACCCCTTGCAAAAATTGGATGGCCATGGATGTCACCAATTGTTGGCCTTTGGGAAGGGTTTTCCAAGGTGCTGGATTTGATCTAGAGACGTTGAACAAAATGGCGGTATTAGCTTGTTGTACCATGTTGTACCCTGGTGAATGCTAAGTGGGTCATACTCTCCACCTGCTTGTGAACTGAAGAGAAGAAAAGGGATGTTCTAGGTCACGTCCTAGATGGTTCATGGAATCCCCCTCTCCGATATATTTGTTTTGCAAGTCTTGCCCTTGAAACCTCATGGCACAAATTCTGCAGACTATTCCTGGCAAACCCTATATGAGCCACCACTTGAGATTCGATCAAGATTCTTGGCTTGTGCACTTGGCCAGCTGACCTGACGAGTAGCAAAAGCGCATGAACAACATCGTGGATATCGTCAATATCGTGGCTTTTGGGTCAGAGAGCCATCCCAGCCCAAGCCCCCACCAAACTCCCAGCTTCACCTGGGCCAATCCATTTTCCCCATGTTCATTGGCCCGTTGGAACACGTTTTGTGGGTTTGACCCTCCCTCCCAACAAATGAAAATGGAGGGCAATGTCAAACACTTCCATGTTTGTAATCCGGGAGTGTAATGTAGAGACATGGATTGAGAAACCTCTTCAGGCCTGGGGGCTGAAATATTATCCAGGGTCTACCAGGCCCCCTTGAGGGGTGTCTCTATAATTATAGCCATATATAGCTCCTTAGAGGGTCGGGGATGTCCATTAACCACCCCTGACAGGGGGCAGTGGTATATATATATATATACATGATTGGTTTCGCAAGGGACGAGCACTAAAGCTACAAACCACGAATGCATACCAGGACCTTCCAAAGGGTGCCCAATGGAAGCCTCTGGGTAGTGTGAGGTAGTTCATTGGACACCCCTTGGAGGGTCCTGGTATATACTTTTTTTAAATAAGACTTCATCCGAATGCCCGGCGGAGTCTCCAGGTGGAGTTGCCTGCCGAGAACGGGGGGGATCCGAGCGCTCTTCTGGTCGGATCCATGCTTCTCTTCCAAGTGGATCACTTGTGCACCTCGCAGAAGATAGGACACGTATGGAAACGGGTACACTTTTTTGTTTAAATTCTTTTGTCGGCGAGGTGTTGTGTTGTGGTTGACTGTTTTCTTTTATATTTTATAATTGAGGGGTGGTGGAGGGTAGCTTAGGTATGGCTGGGTGGCATGTTTGGTGGGAAAGACGTTGCTTTGTCAGGTGCAGATATGTGCAGTTTGTGTAGACATTGCTCGGAAGCCATGAACGCGGGAGATCCTTCTCAAATCCATCCATGCATTTGGGCTTAGTCCCTGCCGACCAACTGATGGACCGCTGGATTCCCTCGGGCATCTCGAGGCCTATGCCGAGAAGTTCCAGACCTTTCCGCGCTCTGTGGCCATGCTGAACAACATCTTTGCCGCCGCTGGGCACTCCAAAAGACCGACTTTGAACAGAGGCGCAATTTGCAATTCATTTGATTGATTGTGATTCAGTCCAGCAGCTGACCAGACTGAAACACACATGAAGACATTGGTCCTGGAACTGTCGCTGCGCCAGTGCCAGCATACTGTGCTGGATGGACAGTATTTGCATAAGAACCACTGCCACAGCGCCCACAGAACAGGTGGCTCCCTTCCTCAAGCAAGCAATGTAGTGGTGAAGGTCTTCTTCGTTTGACACATTGCCTTGGCCATCATCTTATCTCAATTAACAATGCAAGAACTCAAATTTACAATAGTATGTACTTACCCCCTGCAGACCAACATGGACCCTGAAAATGACCTCGTGGTTTCGACCCTTTTCCTCCACAACCCCAGTAGTTTCAGAGTCCATGTGGTCCTCAGCAGGAGGAACAAATATGGATTCCCAATGAAATAACGGTTCCGGCTTGTGAGCTAATCTGATCCTTTTTCCTTGCTTTCCTCGCCCAGGATCCCACCATGGATATGTTCTCCATCCTGGGCGACAACTTCTACGACCAGACAGGCTTTGGGCTCTGGTGGGTGCCTGGGGATTGTTCTCGGCCGCAGGATGTTCGGTGTAGACAGTCGCCGTAGACCCTTCAAACAGATCCAAAAGCCAACCATTTTGACTCCATTTGTGCTATTTTCGGGTTTCATGGGATTCCGCAATTTCTTTGGCTGGGGGTGGCTGGCACGTGCCCCTTCTGACAGGCAGACCCCGATCGATACCAAGTGGTGGGGCGTGTCTAACATGTTTCAAACCAAGAGTAGATGGCACAAACCCGAAGATGTCTTTTAGATGGGGATCCATTTAAACCACCTTTTCGGAATGGGCCATCTATTCTGAAACCCCTATAAATTGGTCTCGCACCTCTGTCCTGAGCCCTGGTAGCGTGTTGAAGCTGTGGGTCAGGGTGGTGGAAAAGACTTGCGTCCAGACACTTTGTTTTGTGTTACGCCCTCAGGCACATGCTTAGCTGAACGCCCATCAACATGGAGAATGCAATCTTGTGCCGGTGAGAGAGTTTGCCGGGGGCTCACCTCATTTTTCAGGCAAAGCGCACGTGATTCCAAAAGCACTCCCATAACTTCGCGTGGACCCAGATGCGTTGACACGTTGCTGCCTTGGCTTTTGGTTTCCGCGTGCGGACAGGGGAATTGGCCAAGACACTTTTCAACCAGCTCTCCCTTGATGTGAAGCGCCGCTTCTTGCTGGTAGTGGCTCTTTGAGCAATTGGAGATGGGGAGCAGGTAGCAGCGAAACCCCAAATCTGAATGGACAGACAAACATGTCTCCAAATGCGCTTGAATTTTGTTTCTATTTTTGGAGATGTCCTTTCTATGTTTTGGAATCTTTTGGAGACGTTTATGGAGTGCACCATGCCACACATGATTTGCATGTGGTCTTTTTGTGCAAGAAGTGTTTGAGAAGGTTGGGGGAGACACGGGTCGTCATGCTTTCACGCACACCGTCAAGCAAGAGTATAAGACAACGCTTGGCTGGACATGTGCTTGTGCGCACATGTCCATTTTGGGTTCGCGTTTGTTGTTGTCCCGGTGGCCGGCCTGCTCTTACATCATCAGCAATCTCAGGAGTTCAATTAACAAAAATGCGGATTTGCGGATCGCTCGCATGAGAGTCACTCGCATCAGGAGTGCTAAATACCTTGGAACTAGGACAAGTTAGACGGAAACTATGAGATAAACTATGAGACGCAAACAAGTTAGACGCAAAATACTGAAAGAGAGGATAGGAGATGTACTGTAGTTGATGCATTTAAGCGAATTGGAGCATCTCTGTCGCATTGAGCCAAGTTTCAGAGACTTGTTTAGACTCCTACCGAATACAGCCCGCAGATTTGACGAGCTGCTTTTCCTTTAGCCATTTGGAGTGTACCGGGTTGGCCAACAGGTCTCCTGACCGGACCTGCTAGCACCACCCAGCAGCCCAGGGTTCTTGTGCGAATTGTGGGGGTTTTTCATCTTTCTTGGTGCGAAATCCAACTCTTCCACTGGATCTTTCTCACCCCATTACCCAGGGTTTAGGGGGCTTCCTCTGGTGCTCGAGGTGAACGGCAACCACGACAATTGGGTGTGCGGCGGCCCCAACTGCGGCGGCTCCGAGGACAACTTCGGCATCGGGCAAATGCAGCGGCTCGACTGAACCGGATGGAACGGCGGAGTGCAGGCCCTCGGTTCTGTGGAGGGCCATGACTTGGGGGCCACGGCCACGCCAGCTGGGGCAACCTTTCCCAAGTTAGACCCCTTCGTGTTGCGTTTCCTCACCCACCCCACGCCCCTCCCGCGCCCCGGTGGGACCCCTGGCCCACACACCACATCCCAAACATCCCAACACGACCCACCAGAGATTGAAGAACCCTATAGCCTATCCCACAGGTACCCCAGGTTGCGGTCCGTTCGTTCAGGTCACTTCACCTCTCTTGGCACTGGACCAAACCGCCCTCGTGCCTCCCGCCGGTCCAGGTACTACACGGCCGACCCTGTGGCCTCGCGGCTGGTGAGCGACAACGCCTTGGTCTCGGGGGAGTTCATGGACTTCTCGGTGGACCCGGACGCCAGGCGCGAGGGGTTGGAAGGGGGGGGGAGTGGAAGCTCTTGGGGCGCAAGAAACGCAAGACGGCCTGTTTTCTCTCTGTGATGTAGCATTATGAAGTTGGATTGACTGTTTTGTTCCTTCTTTTTGTTGGAGTTGATTGCTTTATGCAGAGCACATAGTCAAACAAGAAGGCGGACGTGCCTGCAGCAATTGCACACTTTTGATTCTGATCTCGTTTTTAGTAATTATTTCTTAATGGAATTCGCGCTTGAAATTGTGTTGCCCTCATTTGTCGTTTCATGTTTGGCCCATCTAGTATGCTCGTGGAATCCAACTAACAAGTGCATCCTGCACTTCCCCAGTCTAACCTTTTACATGCTTTTTGCTGATCCCACACTTTATTTGCCTTTTGCTGTCGGGTGTCGGAGTTTAGAGGCAAGTTTTCCACAGGGCGTCGGACCAGATCAGGTGTATAGGTGTCTCCGATGGGCCGGTTGCGGGGGTATTTCGGTGCGTTCGACACGGAAGACATCACGGACCCTCAGGAAGGCATGGAAGAGCTTCCAGAATGTGGGCACCAACTTCCTGGTTGCTGGGCAGATTTTCAGCCGCAGGTGAAGTTAGGGATGTTATTTCCCTGAGAAATGACGCACTGATTGGTAGAGCCACCATGAGCCACCTACTAGTTGACTTACTGCAAATACGCCGCTTGTAGATATGACAGGTCCCACCAGGTGGATTTTTTCTTGAACTGATGCTGCTGGATGATCTTGGGGTGTGTGTGTGTGCGCGTTTTGATTGTTGATCAAGATTGAACATTCAATGCCCCAAGAGTATGCGACCTCCAGACGTCCACCCAAACAACCGAACCAGCCACTGGAACCCATCCAAGCCGAACAGTTGAAGCTTGCGCACAGAGCTGCCGTTTTCATCCATCTGGTTTGGCGATTTCATGCGATTTCTTCAAGCCATCGAGGTAAATGGATGTGGCTTGACATGGCTTGGGCGTTTCCGGGCGTTTTTCACACCCCCTTTGTACCCCCCAAATCCCTACTATATATGCGACAGACCGAGATCACCCTGTCAGGTGTACCACAAGCTCGGCAACGTCGGATTCCTCGGCTTCACAGGGGCTGCCACCTTTCAGGAGATGAAACCCTACTTTGCAGAGGTACGCTCCGTGGTAAAAAAGTGGAAGGTTCCTGGGCGCCTCATTTTGCGCGATACCTCAACGATTATGGATCGCATATAGGAACTGCAAACTGAGAGCTGGTAGCGAGATACAACCATATATTACTGTATAAAACCCATTGGTTTCTACGGGGCTTGTTCATGGCTTACTCCCTGATCTATTCACCCAGTTTCAGTGCATTCAGTCTCCCACTTCAAACACATCGAAGTTTGATGGGAACATCCACACCAATTAGATCCTATAGAATCACACACAGACCCCTCTCCCCTCGCTCTCGCTCTCGCTCTCGCTCTTTGTCTCGTCTGGTCTTGTCTTGTCTTGTCTTGTCTTGTCTTGTCTTGGCTTGGCTTGGCTTGGCTTCTCTTCTCTTCTCTTCTCTTCTCTTCTCTTGTCTTGTCTTGTCTTCTCTTGTCTTGTCTTGTCTTGTCTTGTCTTGTCTTGTCTGTCTGTTTCTTGCTTTCCGTCTTCAAGAAGCTCTTTCAGCTGGCTCACTTTCAACACCACAGTGTCCAGGCGTGCGACTACTTCATGCAGACGAAGCCGGCAGTGGTGCCACTTGGCTGAGAAGCCCAAACGCAAGGACGGCATGAGAAGCACCACAAGACGGATGAACACTCACAGTCTTTATTTTATGTGAAGCATATTTACTTTGTAAAATATTTTTTTAATGTATTTTTATCATTATATCCACTATCCACCAATCATAATAGTATAACATAATTATTTACTTGTGTCATTGTAACAACATCCTCGAAGAGAGGTTGAGAGATCTTGCTGGGGCCCCATACGGGACCATATGGGATATATAAGGGATGCACATTCTGTCTAGCACATCTCCAACTAAAACGTAGTTGGCCCCTCCAACCTGTGACATCAGTTCTTACACACACACAATTTGGGGCTACAAGGCAATGGACAGTGACACTGTTCAAGAGATTGGTTGGCATATATGATATGTTGACACCAGATGGGGCCAAATCACCTGGGTTAAAGATGTTAAAGATGAATGAACATGAACAGCACGTGAAGCATGTGTCTTCCTTACAGTGGGTTCTTCTTGCGCGGCTGTTCTGATGCCAGCTCCTCATCTCTGACACTGAACCCACTCGGCGAAAACACCGGCGGCAGGTTCTTGTTGGGCCACTGGAACACCGATGGAATGGGCTGCACCGGAGGCATGTCCGTGCCGGACGTGCGGAAGGAGCAGTGGTGAGGGCTTCTGAACCAGTGCATGAGTGGCAAGGGTCGCGGGATGGTACACAGTTCCGAATCTAGGGGACTGCTTAGGCTTCTTGAATTGGAGGCTTTCAGGAATGTTTGGCTTGGCATACTCCTTTGATAAGCAAAGCACGTTCTTGAGACGGGACTCATGCGTAAAGAACGACGTGCGCCGCCTGCGTCGCCTTGCCACTCTGCGGATCGAAATCACGGTCGTTCAGGAGCTGTTGGGCCTCTCACAGTGCAGTGCATTGGGGAATCGCTTGAAGTACATGGATGGCCACGAGCATTGCAATTACGTCCCATGGCGGATTTGTTCACCTACGGGAGGGCGGTTTGTTCGGAGGCCGAACGGCTCATGGCATGGGGGTTCGAAGGATGGGGAACCAGAAGGTCCGTAAGAGCTGGTTTTTGGCTGGTTCAGTTTGCGGGTTCTTTGGGAAAAACCGTGGATGTTGCCCAAACTCTTCGATTCCTTGGTAAATCCCTTTTCAGCGGCTCCTTCTCTTCCAGACCCACCTTGACCCACCTTCACTTGGCCTCGGTTTCGAGGCCGCAAACGTGCGTCGAGAAACGAACGAAGTATTCATAACAAAGGTTGCTGCCGGGTTCATGTGGTCGCACAGGCAGGATGAGTGCTCATGATGTGAAGGCCAGCAACTACACCTCGAAAGCCGTCGTTGATGGACCTCCAAACTGCTGTTATTTTTTTGGGTGCTGATGTGGAACAGGCTCCACTTGCAAGCAGTTTTTCTTGAAGGCACGTTCCACATGTGGACAATGAATCAGAGTGAGATTCTGATCTGTTGGGAGGCTAGGGGAGTGTCATCTTGGAGGGGCCAAGGGTTTGTTTGTTGTTTCATTTCATGTTGTTTTTAACATATATGTATTTGTAACGGTGAGCGGTGATTCTTGGACTTTTCAGTGTTGGCTTGGCTGTATGGACCAATTCCTGAACACCGCAAGGTGCAAGCGAACACCACCGAACCGGTGGGCTTCATGATCGGCGCGCACGGCATGGATGATGGCGAATGCAAGGCGCATGCACGGAGACCAAAGCTTCAATGCTCAGGAGTTGGTGTGTTGAAACGGGGGCTGATCATACTGTTACTGTAAGACACTGGAACAGGAGATGGGGCTGAAAGAGAAGAAAGTGTATTATTTGACAACACCTTTCCTGGCTGCAAACAAGTACGTATCAACAAGTCTACTGAAATGAAACTCCTGGGGTCCTTTTTGGAGCATTTTTCGAGCCCATAGAGGAGGCGCACTCGGTTCTGTTCGGTTGGAGCGTGGATGTCTTTTTCAAAGCTCCCAACGAAGCCCACCACGAAGCTCCATAAAACAAAAACCGCATCCGTCATCGAAGCCATGCTGGACGCTGGGAAGCTGACAATGCTGGACGCCGGACAACGGGCATCGCTCAACGAGCCACTGGGAGCTCATGAGTTCAGTACGGGAGTTCTCCCCCTTCGCTAGATGGGGACCAGCAACTTGGGGATACTGCAACAAACCCACCTTCAGCTGCTCAGGCATGTATGGATGCCGCTGTGTCTTGGCTTGGAGGGGCCCCTTGAGCGACCACACGGTCGCGGATCGCACTGCGTGAGCGATGGAAAGATAAGGTGCTGCTGTGCGCCTTGCTTGGACCTTGTTAGATCTCGGATCGTCAGATCCTTCCTTTTTGATTGAGCCCAATAGTCGCTACCGGTGCACACTCCGTGCATTGGTAGCGGAGCAGCTGTTGCTGACTCCAGGGATCGCTACTACTTGCTTGTGGACCGCTTCGGCACGTTCGGCGACCCTTTGCCCCTGATTGGTGGCGGACCTTGCCAGCACTACCTCTAAGAGGACCTCCTTGTGACTGGCACTACTTTTTGCAATTCATTTCTCCTTGTGGACCCCTTTGTTTTGTATTTTCTCCACCTCTGTCTCAACAATGGCAGAGAAAGAAGGTCACATCCCAGCTTGGGATGGCCGTGCACAAACATGGCGACGATACACCAAAGAAGTCGTCTGGTATGTGAGATCGACTCCAATTCACAAGAGACAGTACTGTGCCACTCGACTTCTCTCTCGGCTTACAGGGCCGGCACGGCTACTTGCAATGTCATGGGTTGATCTCAATCTCGATCATCCAGATGGTGTACGTGAACTTCTCCAGCGACTTGCCGCTTCGCCCTTGGTGCGGCAGAGCCTGCCAAATGCGGCAGCCATTTGCCAGCAATACTTTCAGTTCCATCGGAAGCCCTCAGAATCCATCCAGCCATTCCTTGTGCGAGAAGCTTTGGGCTACACTGAATTCGTGGAGGCCTTAGTCCGCCTCTATGAGGACAAACATGGTGTCCGTCAGGAAGACAAGGACTATGGTCTGCCCAAGGCCGATGAGTTGGAAGAGTGGAATGAATGGGAAGAAGGAAATACCGATTCTCCTCATAGTTCTCGACGCCGTTCTGTTCGAGCTGCACATGCTTCAGAATATGGCGACGCTCCCTGGCCTGATGAAGAAGACCCCTTGCAGCCAGAAAGCGGCTCACCTTGGCATGCTTCCACTGTGCCCTCACGTCAGTCCGTTGGCGTTCAACCGAGCACCAGTGGACCTCCGGAATTATCCTGGACCGACAGTTTTGTCCTGGGCGTTCTTCGTGGGTTCCGACTGCTGCAATCCTCAGGCCTGACGCCGGAGGATAAGCGAGATATCATCAGCACCACTCGTGGCAGTCTTGAGTTCGATGTGGTGGCAAGAGCTCTCCAGACTCTATGGGATGAACAATTCCTGGGCCGGCAGAATAACACCTACCAGAACCACATGCTTGAGGAGCACGACGCTGTTGTGGCTGAGAATGGTGACTGGTCCTGGGCACTACATGGTGACTCATGGGAGTCTGGTGGCTGGGAGGATTGGTCTGATCCTCATTCGCAGTACTATGCTGCGGATTGGACTGACTATGATTGGGAGGACGCTCATGTACAAGAAGCTCATGAAGCCTCTGCTGAGGACACTGAGGCCTTGAAGGAGGCTCAACAGGCTGAAAAGGTTGCTGAATCCTTGGCTGCAGAAGCTCAGAGAACTTGGAGCGAGGCCCAGAGGGCCACAGCTGCCTTGCGTCGAGATCGAGGGTTTGGACATGTTGTTGGTGCCTCTGGTAAAGGTGGAAAAGGACCCTGTTTCATTTGTGGTGGACCTCACTACTCCAAGGTATGCCCCGACAGACGCCATCCTTCCTACTCTAAGGGCTATAAGGGGAAGAATAGCTTCTACCAGTATGACTACAACCCTGAAGAGCTCTATTTTGTTGGGAAGGGTAAGGGCAAACAGAAGGGAAAGCACTCCACTTTCTTCGCCTCCAAGGGGAAGAAGGGAAAGGGGAAGTCATCTTCCTCGATGATGACGCGGCCGCCTGTCAATGCCTATGCGGCCGATGAAGTTTTCATGGGTGCCCTAGAGATCGCTGAGGCTCACCGGGCGGAAACCGCCACGCCCCTAGAGGCCATGGGAGCCCACCAAGGTTTGCTTGATTGCGGTGCGACAGCTTCGGCTGGCCCCCAAGTTGCTGTCGAGAGCCTCATGAAGGCCATTCTGTCGAAAGACCACCAAGCTCAGATCGAGATCCAAAAGGATGAGAGACCATACTTTCGTTTCGGAAACGGTCGTTGGGGGCAAGCACTTTATCGTGTACATGTTTGTTCAAGGGCATCCGGTGAACCTCGCATTTTCCAACTATATGCGCTACCAAACCCTCCTGATCTTCATGATCCCAACTTTGATAGGTCTACGTTGGTTCCTATTTTGGTAGGGATGAGTCATTTGGCTGGGTCGTGTTCGTCGATGGCGGTGGACTTCCGAACTGGGATGGCCATGGACACCTTCAAGAATGAACCTGAAGCCTATAGACTTCCAAGCAACCGCAAGGGCCACTATATCCTGGATATTGTCAACTACCTCACTGGGGGACGAGATTCTTGAAGGTCATGCAGCCATCCGAGTGACGCCGAGCCGAACTTCGAGTCAAGCGGATCTGCACGTGTTAGAGTTTCATCCTCTTGAGCATTATGATGGTTTTGTCCAACAGCCTGTAGAGATTTCAGAAGTTGATTTGCAGCATTCTCTTCATTGTCTTCGACGTTTGCATGAGCACAGTCGTCAACTCTCCAATGCTTCAGCTGTTTTTCAGACCTCAATGCGATCATCCGTGATCCTTGACCCCAATTCGCCTCCTGCTGGCAATCATGTCGGGAAAGGGCACTCCCTCCGATCTCGTGGTGGCGGCCATCAAGGCATCGACACCCAAGAAGAAGGAGACAGCTCCCCTCGACCACGACCGCTCCTTCAAGATGGACACAAGGGATCCACGTGCCAGCAGCACTCAGTGGCCGTGCTTTGCCAAACATGTTCCGGCCACCATGAAGTACAATCCTCACGGAGCATGGATCAACTGCGCAGTCTGCCATGTCCGCCTGGAGTACATCCCTCGGGTGGGCTCTCCGGGACAACACACCAAGCTCGACAATCCGGCCATGGTCAAGCGCATGCTCAAGGAGCTCTACGACCTGATGGACGGAGAATCACCGACAGAGGACATCTGTCGTGCAATGCAAGTCAAGATCGATGCGGAGGAGGCCTTGCTCAAGCTGGTGGCCGATGCCAAGAAGTCACCACCAAAGACACCTCCGTCGAAGGGCTACAAGACACCAGCGCAGGACCTGACCCTCTCCATGAGTCAGCGACCAAGCTCCCCGGCTCCCTCCTGGAACATGGTTCATCCGGTGACGGGCGCTCAGTCACCGAGTTCCGAGGATTCGGGACCTCTCACCGGAGCCGACATGGAGAAGCTGCTGACCGAGGAAGAGAAGATTCGTCTTGCCGCCCTTCTACGAGATCGAAAGGCCGACGCAATGTCAAGTGGGGATCTCATGAATCCCAACCTGTTCGAAGCAGCGTGAGAGAAGAGAAGACCGCTCCGTTGACCCATCACCTCGGAGCAAAGGTCATGATGATGGTTATGACTTTGACCTCAACTATGGCAGCTGCTGCTATGGATCTATGTGTTGATGGTCGTGATGGTCTTTGGGAAGTTGCTTGTGCTCCTCACAGCTGGCTCTCCGAAGCTTGTATGCAGCATGGCATCCCTTCTCGCCGCATCAATTTGGCAGAAGGCTACGACCTGTACCAAGAGGAGACATGGCACCTTTTGTCTCAACTTCATCGCAAGCACCGTCCTCGCAAGATCTGGTTCTCTTTACCATGCACCAAGTTCTGCAAATGGACCTTCCTCAACTACTCCACGCCAGAACGGAAACTACTTCTTCGTTCCCATCAAAGGCGTGAACGAAAGATGCTCTGGAACATGAACCAGTTCCTCAAGAAGGCCATGGATGCAGACCCCTCAATGCATGTGTATTTTGAATGGACCCATCCTTGTCAGGGTTGGAGTGAAGCACCTATGATCGACCTTGAGCACTACTTCCATGAGAATGATCTCTTCTGGCAAGGTTGCCGTGTAGACGGGTGTGTCTATGGCATGCGCAACCTGAAGGACACCGACTTCATTAAGAAGAGTTGGAAGATCATGACCACCGATGAGCACTTCTGGAAGATCTATCGGGCAAAGACTTGTGGTGGTGGTCACAGTCACAGTTGGATCCAAGGAGCAGAGACTGCCCGATCTGCCTATTATCCTTGGAAGCTATGTCAAGCTATTGCCCGCACTTGGCGTCAGCAATTCCTCTCCGACAAGAATGTCAACTACCTCTTCCGAAACTATGACAAGCCTACAACGGTGCAGGACCTTTTGGCTGCTGAAGAAGAGGCACTACAGCCTGAACTACCTCAAGAAGATGATCTTCTTCCACGAGTACCAGACTATGCTGATGGCATCATTCCTTCCAATGCAGAACGTCAACAATGGCAAGCTAAGGTAGCGCGATTCCACAAGGCCGCTGGGCATCCTACGAATGCCAACCTGGCCCGAATTGTGAAGGAAGCCAATCAACCACAGTGGAAGATCGACCTGGTCAAGAATTTCTCCTGTCCAGCATGTGAAGCACTACGACCTGGTGGTCAGAGCTCTAAGATGGTTCCTCCAGCTTCTACTCATGCTCTTCCAAAGGCGTGGCAAGTGGTTGGAATGGATACTTCCGAATGGCAGGTGCCCAACCAGAAGGTCAAGCTCAAATTCCTTCTGATGGTCGACTTGGCGACCAAACTTCGGGTGGTGCATGTGATAAAGGAGTACTCCAGCCTCACCATGGATGGAGAGAGCGCCGAGGATGTGATCCACGGCCTGACTGAGAAGTGGCTTGCACACTTCCCAAAACCTGAGTTGATCGTGTGCGACAATGGCATGGGCTTCACCGCGGACAAGTTCAACAAGTTCATGCAGGACCTCAACATCTACATGCACTTTCCTCCTGAGAAGGAGCCTTGGGCACATGGCATTGTTGAAGCTGCCATCCAAGACGTCAAGCACACCGCGAGTGCCATCCAGCTAGATGATTCCACTTTGAGCCCTCGTATGACCTTGGTGCTGGCGACTGCTGCCTTGAACAATACCGAGTACACTGCCGGCTACACCGCCAACCAATGGGCATTTGGAAAGATGTTCAACATGTCCGATGAAGACACCCGAACCTTTCAGAATGCGGACCCTTCTCACGAGTTCGCCAAGCTGATTCAACAACGACAAGCTGCTGAAGAAGTGGCCACTCGCACTCGAGCCAAGAGAGTGCTCTCCAAATTGAGCAACACCATCGTCCGTCAACCTCTCAGAAACTTCAACCCCATGGACATGGTCATGGTTTGGCGACGGCTCCAACCCACCTTGATTCACAAGGGTGTTCGTGGAGGTCTGAAGAAGGCTGCCAAGCCTCGATGGATTGGACCTGGAAGAGTTGTTTTTCAGGAGCTACTTCCTCATCAGAAGAAGGAGATCACCGACGGCATATCTTATGGGTTCTGGTGGGTAGCAAGATGCTTCGTTGCTCAGTGCACTCTGTTCGACCTGTCACTGAGACTGAGCGCTTCACCTATGAGATCACCACCGACGAGGACCCTTCTCAGTGGAAGTCTCTCGCAGACATCCTGCCAAAGCGAGAGTATGTGGACATTGTGGATGAAGTCCCCAATGAAGAAGACCGAGAACTACCAGATCTTCCCGACGAGCCCGACAACACCACCTATGTGCCTATCCGAAGGGCCAAGCATAAGCAGACCTTTGGTCCTGATGAGTATGTCAAGGTGCATCGCTCTTCGCCCCTTGGCTTGGATTCCTCCTCCTCTGCGAATCCAAAGGTGAAGCATTGGATTCCTCCGCCACCGGCACCTGACCTTGAGTATACTCCATCTGTTGCTCCCGAACCAGGTGAACATGAAGATGATCTACCAGAAGCTGAAGCTGGTGCTGACACCACTGAGGTCAGCGTGAGAGAGAAGCGTGAAGTCAATGACTATGACCGGGAAGTTGAACGACCTCCCAAGAAATCCAAAGATGAAGAGTCTCACAAGAAAGCTCGCTCCAGCTATGACTTGGGCTGGATAGATCTTTTGCGGGCCGATGTTGACAATGAGGTGCAGGACTTTGAGCTCTACCAGGCTTTCCAAGAGACTGAAGAGTTCCTTTGCTTTGAGCTGGACATCTCATTTGACTCCAACAGACAACGCAAACAGTTCCTGCACAACCCTGTCAGCTACCTGGTTAAGAGGCTCAACTCCTCTGAGGTGAAGTTGGAACGCCTTTCAGCTGCAGATCGTGAACTATTTCATCGAGCCAAGCTGAAGGAGGTGAATTCGTTCCTGAAGAATGCCGCTGTCAGGGCATGCTTGAATGATCAGGAGACCCGGGAGGCCTACACCAGTGGCAGAATCTTGAAAGCTCGATGGGTTCTGACTTGGAAACCCATGCCTCCAGATGAACTTCAAGAGGCCAAGCGTGAACGAGCTCTTCATCCAGACGCTACCGTGCTGAATGAGTCAGCCACAGCTAAGGCCAAAGCACGCATTGTACTACTTGGATATCAGCATCCATCTCTCCTTGATCGTGGCTTCAAAACTGCTGCTCCTGTTCAGAGGTTGGTTGGACGCCACCTGCTGTATGTCTTGAGCGTCTGGCATCAATGGGAACTACAAGGACTGGACCTTGCCACGGCTTTCCTTCAGACTCAGCCCACGGAGTCGGATGCAAAGATATGGACATCAGGTGTTGAAGAGTTGAAGACAGCACTCAATGTCCCCCAGGACACTCTGTTGCGCATCCTGCGCAATGTGTACGGCTCCACTACAGCTCCTCGAGGGCTTTGGCTCTCTCTACACAACAAGCTTACTGAGCTTGGAGCTGTTGCCGCTGTTGGCGAGCGTTGTCTATGGCTGTGGTTCAGCAAGACCGAGCTGGACTCCACTGGTCAATTTCCTCGTCTTCTTGGAGCAATGGGAGGACACGTTGACGACTTCCACCGTGTTGGTGATGTGAACAGCTCTGAGTGGCAGGCCATCTGCCAACGCATCGATGCTGCATACCAGTGGGGCAGTGTCAAGCGTGGATGTTACCGCCACGCAGGCACGGACATCACCTCTGTCCGGAAGCCTGATGGTCTTGTCGAGATCGAGGTGGACCAAGACTCCTACATCGAGACCCTTCAGGATGTTGACATCCCAGCTGATCGCATCCGAGCTGATGACAAGCTCTCTCCTTCTGAGTTGGCCAGCTGCAGGGCAGCCCTGGGATCTTTGCAATGGTTGGCCATACAAACCCAACCACAACTCTGCGCTCGATGCAACCTCCTGCTGAGCGATTTGGTGACCAATGGTCAGTTGGAGCACGCCAGGGAGATTCAGAACATGATCACTGAGATTCGCCTGGAATCTTACAAGCTTCGCTTCTTCAAGCCCAAAGATGCTGAGCATTGGAGTGACCTGACCTTCACCACAATGGCCGACCAGTCGCACAACAACAGACCAGGTGGAAACTCCACCGGAGGTATGATCAGCCTGATCTCAGGACCCTCCTGTCGCTCTGGCCATGTCACTGAGTTCATGTTGGTGAACTGGCGCTGCTGGAAACTCAAGCGCAAGGCGATTGCGTCAAACGACGCAGAAATACAGGCAGTGCTAGAATCCGAAGACTCCAACTTTCGGATGAGGCTCCTATGGACAGAGATCCACGGAGCAGGCCACCAAAGGCCAAAAGAGCGCCACGACTTGGTGGAGGAGACGGAGAAGCAGGCCCGTCTTGTGAAAGGCATCCTCTGCACCGACAGCCGTGGAGGCTACGACGCTGTGGAGATGAACGAATCTCCACTCCTTGGATTATCCAATATGAGGGCAGCGCTTCAGGCCTTTCAGTTGCGTGATAATCTGAGGAGAGTTGGGGCTGAACTTCGTTGGCTAGCTTCCGATTTCGACCTGGCCGACAGCCTCACAAAGCGCAAGGCTTCCTGTCGAGAAGGATTGGTCAAATTCCTTCAGACCAACCGCTGGAGCATCGCCTTCGATCCACAGTTCGTTGCAGCCAAAAGAAACAAAAAGACAGGCCACACCGCCGTCTCCAAGGTGGACAAAGCCATGGCGTGGAATGAGGGTCATCATTTTGAGCCCTTTGACCTTTTTTGTAGTGATTCCTCCGAGCTGCACTATCTTCACACCTTCGCAGCTGATTTTCTCTTTTGGGGTGGTGCAACAAACCCACCTTCAGCTGCTCAGGCATGTATGGATGCCGCTGTGTCTTGGCTTGGAGGGGCCCCTTGAGCGACCACACGGTCGCGGATCGCACTGCGTGAGCGATGGAAAGATAAGGTGCTGCTGTGCGCCTTGCTTGGACCTTGTTAGATCTCGGATCGTCAGATCCTTCCTTTTTGATTGAGCCCAATAGTCGCTACCGGTGCACACTCCGTGCAGATACCCCCAGTCGTGAACTAGTAACTAGAATTTCCCATAGGTCATACTAGGTAATTTGGTAGCTGTAGGGTCTGTCCTATTACCTGTAACAGTCAGTCAACAATTATCATCATTTTTGAACCACGCCTTTACTACCCATCATCATCCACTGGGCGGTCATAGGATAAACCCTACAGGTACCTGGATGTTGGCATCGGCCCCTGGTCTCACATACTCCGGACACCGATCCCAGGGCCTTAACCACGACTGGGCCCACATCTCACGACCACATCGACGTCCCAGTCGTGGCCGACCCCAAGACTCACCTGGGCCTTTGAACAAGGCCACCCTCCTGGCCTAGGCCTAGGGCAGATGTGGTTTTTTCCCCTCTAGGACCTTTGATTTCAAGGTGCTCCATAGTGCTGGGTCCTCGCCATGCACCGGCTGCTCCCAGACTCCTTGCCAGAGGCGCAGTACGGCTTCTTGTACCTGGACAGCACGGCTGGCCGGGTGAGGCGCGCATGCCGGCGAGTCCTTCGGAATCCATCGGTCCTCTTGTTCGTCCTTTCGTCAGTGCCTGGGCTTCTTCTGGGGACCCATCGTTCGGAGGAAAAGACTTGAAGAGATGGACATTTTCCTGCCTGGACTGGTTGTGGTGGAAATTGCGTCGGAGATATCGGAGACAGCAGGTTCTTTTGAGTATGTAATTCTGGTGATTCTGAAGGAGTCTGGAGCAGGTCCGCAGGTCTAATACTACTGGTAAGGTATTTTAGAAATGGAACGTCCAAGGAAGACTATTTATTTCCGTGCTTCCTGTGCATGCTTTTGGTCCACATGCTGTGTGCTATCCACTGTTTACTTGAGGGCGGCCATCGTCCAAAAACAACATCAACTTAAATGACTTTCGCACTTTGTCTTCAACCACTCTTGTGTTCTGGCGGAACTGCGACGAAGTGGCTGAAATTTCACAAACACTATGCCAATGGCATACTTGACGCAGGCTCTACTACTTCGAGGCCTCACTGCGTCGCGCTGCGTCGCGCGGGCTGTGCATGTGGGGTGCGTGTTGGGAGCGAGGGCCTCCAACTACATTTTGTTCATTACTGTATTTGACAGTTTCAATTAGTTACAGCGATGGACACAATGGGTTTTGAATTTTAAACCATAGATTGTCCCTAATGCTTGCCCTTGTCTTGCCAGATGAAGGCGACATGTCCCCGTTGATCCAATTCCTTCACTTTGGTGGCGCCCCATGAGACCCTGACAGAACTGTTCGAAGCCCCCAAAGGAGCGAACGTGCCAGACTGGCCCATGGTCACCGTGGTGAACGACACAATCAAGTCAAACTGTGACAGACGAAAACGATCTAAACGTCAAGGATGTCAAGGCCGTGCTTTTCCTTATTGTTCCAGCGCTCATCTGAAATGGAGAGTTCAGCTCCATTTCGGGGAAAAGGGCCTCAACAAAAGGTGCCAGGACATCCTCTGACACCACCATTTGGGCTTCCAACATCACTACCACCACTACCGCATACTACCGCTCTTGCTCAGCTTTCTGGACAGAATCGTGCTTTCTTTGCTCCACGGATTGACATTCAGGTGGCCTCTGAGACGAGCGATCAATATGAGGCATTGATGGCGTGTGTCTCGAAAGGAGGACATCGCACAGCGTTGTTCTTCTTTTTCCGCTGACGGTGCGGGTGGGGGAAAGCAACCGCGCGAGGAGGGAAAACGGGCTCACTGCGAGTTGCACAGAACAAAAACCGGGGGGGATGTTGAGACCATCCAAGTGAGTGTGGGCAGCTTTGACCTCGAAAACGGCCATTGGCTTAGCGATGCCGCCTGGGTAAACCGATGTTCCAAGAAATCGCCAGGACAGGTGCATGTTGCGCCCCGGTGATGGTGCAGATGTTGGACCGACCATATTTCAGTCAAAACAAAAAGCTGCCCGAGGTTTTATATAAGAATTTACAATCCAAAAGGTTTTGTGTGTTTTTTCTCCTATGTTTTTGTTAAATAGATTTAACATAAATCAACCGTCTACATGAGAACACAGTCTGGCAGTCATGACTGGGTCCCGCACCAATGCCGACGCCGAGCGCGAGGACTGGCCGCTTGCACCGGCATGGCTTCGGTTTGGCTCGACATCCCGGTCACTGGGCCAAACGGAGGAGAGGCATCCGACCGGGCCAAAAAGGGCCAAACCTGGTGTCTCACACCTGGGGTAGCTACTTAGTTTCGGACCCCACCTGGGGTACCGGTTCCTGGGATAGTCGAACAGTCGGGCTCTTCAACGTTGGAAGATCTTCTTCGGACAAGACCTGAGATGCATCAGACGACAGGGGCACAGGGGAAGAAACCATGTTTTCTTGGAATCTCCATTGATGAGTGAAACTTTGTTATTAGGCACCAGTCTGTCATGCACAGGCCAGGATACAATGCAGACACTTTGCCCTGTTAGTCAGTGGGTTGTTGTATGATACACATAGACATAGAATATATTGTATACATCTATAGGTACATCCACATTTTTGCACACATAAAACATGAAACGCGCAAGAGTCCAATCTCAAGCAAGCACCCCCCCTACTGTATATAAAAAGTCAGCCTTTGGGATGCTGCGTGGTACATGTGTCTTGTCCAATGCAACGAAATAGACAGCGAAACCTGCCAGACTGTGACTGTGACCTCCGAATCTTGGTCACGAGTCACACATGCAGAGAAACAAACAAAACTGTTATCAGCATGTTTCAAGCAGACCCAAAACACAAACTGGGGGTAACGGTATGTAACGGTAATATATAGTAACCTAGACCTTCAAAATCCCAAAATATCTTGGTCGATGTGGTTTGTACTACTTTATTGTGACAATCAGTTGAAAAGTGGTCGAGCACATACGATTCAAACAAAGAGTGGTCGTGCATGGTCACACACTGCCCTCCCCGTGGCCTCTGGATGCCTGATGGATGAGGATGAGGATGATGATGACGATGATGATTGGTCGGTTTCACGGGAGTTCAAAAGTATGATCTCTTATGCTTGCCCAAAACATGTGGCAAAATCAAGTGCAGCCTGGGTTTGCCATCGCTTGGGCAGTCGATATACCCCTCTAAGAAATAGCGGGTTTCACTAATCCCTGGTCGATCAGACATTGGCCTAGAGCTCCAAGAATTATAAGCAGGCTCGAGCGCAGCAAAACTACAAGATACGGTAATGATATACGAGTATGCAAAAGGAACCATAATTGCATTTGTGCTAACAAATGAACTCATGTCGACATCATGCTCGTAGGAAAACATGACTATAGGCACTCATTTTCTCCCGAACAGCTTATGACCAAAGATTGTCCAAATCGAGCAGGCAATCCTACTCATGACATTCAGCCCAAAAGAGTTGCAATTCAACGAATTTAGAGGTTTCTCAAAAACCCATTTGACCTACTTTCTGGGATTTGTGGGCGTTTGCGAGTTTTTAGCGGCGTTTTGAGGGTTTTTGCGGGCGTTTTGCGGGTAAAACTGGTCGTGGGTTTTCATCAAGTTCTGTCTCCGAAACCTCAGAATAACATTAAGTGCTTTCCACTCCATGTAGGTCTTCAGAGGTCACAGCCTGGGCATGAAGAGACAGATGTTTTTATCAATTCCTAATTTGTCGTGGTGACATCAATGTATTTATTATATATCGAATTATCCCTGCCATTGACCAAGGATGAACTTATTGCAACCCTGTAGCCAGTTTTTTTCATTTCTTTGTACATATCCTGCATCGCATCTTGCAATTCCACCGGAATTCGAAGCCGTTCATTATATAATGATAAAGGTAAATGAAGACACTTGGCAGCTGGGCATTAATCCAGTTATCGTCATCAAGAAGGCCGCAAAAAACTTGAAGGTCGGTTTTTTGCCGGGTCGATGATGACTGGCGTCTTCCACTGCGTCCAATGGGATGGCTGATGGATGGATGGGTTGATAAATACGGAAGTCATCCCCTAAATATAGATGTGTGATAGCCGGTGATGGCTACTCGGATCAAAATCTGTGGAGCGTACCCAAATCACACCGTTAAGCAAAAATCAGTCGTTTCTGACAACTACCATTTTTTTCCATCGAAGCATCAGAAACTAATACAACAACCCCATCGTACTAGAATATTTTAGCCGTTGGAAGGTCTAGGAAGAACAATTGAATGGATGCTTGTGAACCTACTGTGTATAGTAGAAGGCATTCCCTCCTGATTCCGAAGTATGCACCAGTCTGAATGGTAAAGGTTGCCACCAATGTTCACTGTTTTTAAATCTCAGGGTTGTCCAACGCCCCGAAGAAAACCGTAGAACACTGTCATGTCTTGGGTTAAGCAACTGTGAGGAAGACAAGACCCATTTCACAAATGCAGACGAATCGGTAGACTCCGTAGACAAAACTATATAGATGAGAACGGCGTACTCTAGTAGTTCCCCCATGACCTGACACACACGCACACAAAGACCCGTGTCTTTTTGGAATGTGACAACAAAACACACCCCTTGAGTTCCCCTTCAGGGTGTTGACATCATGTATTATCATTTATTGGCAAAATGTTTGTCAAGCCGCAAGCCTTCATGGTGGCTCAACCTACAACTTCCATCGTCGAATCATTTTGTTGGGCCGATGCCGGAATCAACATGATCGTGCAATTATATATATAATATATACCATTCACGGTGCCGCAACCAAGGCGACCGACTTGCCCGTGGTGGTGTCCCGGCGGATGACAGTGGAGGGAGGAGGGAGGCGTTGTGACGCCAAATCAGGATACCATTGACCAGCATAATGTATTTAATTGTATTTATGTTTTGCACTCTTTACTTTTCGTAATTCACAGGGTCCCTCCTTGTCAAGGAATATCAGGAGCTCTTGCTACCGTTAGGACCTTTCCCTCGCTTAGGACGGGCCCCTTCTTGGTCTCTTTCACTTCTGCTGCCTGCGTCGGCATTCTTCTTCAAGTAGGTGGTCGTTGACCGAAAGCGCTCAACAAACGGGGCAATGAAGAGCTCGGCAACGTGTTGGTGACGCGGGACTTCCGCAGAACCCCGTTGACCTCAAAGCGTAGATCGCAGAGCCCCGGAGGGCTCCGCTACCAATGTTGAGGAGCAAGGCCGGCAACCGAGGTCCGGCAACAAACGAAGCACGGCGCACGAACGCGCGCCACCCGCAGCGCTTTTCAGCGCACAAGTCCCTCCCTTGAGCGGAAGGATACGGTCGGTCGAAGCATGGAAAACACTCTCAACCACTTCATGACTGCAATGCACAGCGTGCAATTGTCATGGGGGAGAAGCTATCGCGCCGTAGCGCGTGGCATGAGCCTGCAGCCAATTTTGGATGGAGACCCTTAAGGTGTATCCTCCTGGCTGAGCTGGTGCCGTGACATAGTCGGGAGGCAGAACTCGTCCACTGCAAAGTTCACAGTGGAAGTACTCATCCTGCATCCGGACATCCCTGCCCGCTAGACTGCTGCATTCTGCAGTCAAATGAAAGCGGCGGCCTCTCCTGCAAATCAGGACTCCGCGCTGCAAAGGGCACTCAGCTCGGTGGTTGTCCATCTCTCGGACACAGGCTCTCAAAAGCGCCGCACCCAGCGCAAGCAGCTGGTTGGACATGCAGCTTTCTTCCAGGATCAAATTGAGCGATCTCTGGAATTCGTCCGCGGCTTGAAGCCTCTTGTTCTCGAGACGAAGGCGGTGAGGGACCAAGGCTTCTTTCTTCCTTTTGAACCCCGATCTCTGCAGTGGTGACCTGGGTTCGTCCAACGCTCCAGCGACCGAGCAAACACATAGTGCTCAGCAGCAAACAGATGGCGGTGGTGAAGATGAGCTCAAACATGCCAGCTCCCGTCTCCATGGTTTCTTCTTCGGTGGCAGCTGCCACTTGTGGTAAAAAGAAACACATCATGACCATGAAAAACTTCAGGGGGTTGCCAGTGACAATGGACATGAGGTGCCATGGCTCGACATGGCTCGGACCGGCCCGGGAGACATACGTGAGCACTCCATTAGTGTAGGCCAAGTAGCCAGCCAGTTGGTGCTCGGTGTTCATCTCATAGTTCTCCTCGGGGAGGTGGCTGTCCAAAGGAAACTCATGCTTCCCAACTTCAACTTCACTTTCATGGCCAGGCGAAGGCGCCGGCCTCAACTTCACAGGGCTGCTGGCGGTCGTGCTCTCCTGCAAGCTTGCTTGGAGCTCTTCTTTTGTTTTCTTCTTTGCAGCCTTGTAGTGAGGATCCCAGGTCAGCTTCAGCTGTCCATATCGAAGACGTTGAGCCAGGAGCGTTCTCGCGCTCTCCTTTGTGAGGCCATCAGCCATTTGGCGCTCCGAAGACATCCAGCGCAGGCTGCCGCCCAGAGACAGAAGGCGTTCCTTCATGACCCGCACCTCCAAGGACACTCGTTTGTCCACAACTGAGCTGCCGACACCTTCTCGGTGAAATGAATCGTACAAAGCCTTGGCGTCGGTCACCATGGTGGGCTCCAGAGGACACGGAGCTTCCAACAACTCTTTCAGAGGTCGGCGAGGATCAAGGAGGTGGTTCCAGTAGACGCACACATTCTCCAGGGCGTCACATGCTTGGCCTCCGGCCT